ATCATGGGGGGTACAGAAATGTCAAAACATGAATTCAAGAACGGATCAAAACAATTCAATTATTTCACAGTATGAGTTTTGATGCATAAAAAAAAATATAATAATAATTGCTGAAGTTAAAACAGAAATGACCAACAAAAAAAAAAAAAAAAAATTTACAGCAAAAAAAATATTTCATAAAATATATTACATAGAAAGTATTTGTTAGGGTGGTATTATATTTTTTTTTACATCATCACAGAGAACTGAAAAAAAAAAAAAAAAAAAAAAAAAGCAAAAATTAAAAAAAAAAAAAAAAAAAAAAAAAAAAAAAAAAAAATTTACAGCAAAAAAAATATTTCATAAAATATATTACATAGAAAGTATTTGTTAGGGTGGTATTATATTTTTTTTTACATCATCACAGAGAACTGAAAAAAGAAAAACGGGTGGGGGAGGGGGCGAAAAAACCCATTGGTAACGTGTACAGCACGAATGCTTAAGGGTGTGCTTCCTCACATAACACCAATATTAATATGGTGAATATTTGCACACCTTGAGCAAGCCCACTACACCCCTTCTCACCCCCCTGCCGCCCCGGGAGGAGGGGGGGCGCCTGGATCAGACACCACAAAATGACCAAATCGTGTTCTAATAGATGACGTCACACTACAGTTGTTTTGTTGTTTTTTTTTGTTGTTTTTTTTTTGTCTGTTTGTTTTAAAGGGGGTTGGAAATTGCCACAAAAATACTTAATTCTTTATTTAAATTAATTATTTTTTTGTTTTAATTGGTAAAAATTAGTCTGATATGAATTTTTTTTTTTTTTAAATGTCCACCGCTTCATTTAATTTCTGCTTCTCGTGACATCCCGTCATCATATGGAGCTAAAGTTTTTAAGCTCCTCACCACAACTCGTGCTCNATATATATATATATATATATATATATATATATATATATATATATATATATATATATATATATATGCATAATAAATAGATATATATTATTTGAATGTGAATCCCCTGCCAAGAAAGAAAGTTTCCCCCTGTATCTTTCACGTCAACATTTCGGATCTCTATCAATGGAAACTGTTGGTTTTTTTAATTTTTTTTATTTTAAATTTTGAATTCTCCCATTTCTGCCAGTGCGACCTGCGTTTGCGAGGCACCACCCTTCCCCCCACCCCTGAAAAGCTGGCTTTAACAGATCTACTCCCCCCCCGCCCCTCCCCCCCCCCCACCCCGGTGATTGTGTCCTCGGCGGTGGTGGTCAGGGAGGTTGTTTTTTTTTGAAGCACTGAAAGGAGTCATCAAATTGAGAATCCATTTTTTCCACGGTCTTTTTATGAGTTGCTATTGTAAGACCCCCGTGCTGTTTATGGGCGGAAAGGGTTCGTCTATGTGTGTGTGTGTGTGTGTGCGTGTGTGTGTGTGTGACTAGTGCTAGTGGTGGGGGTTGAGAGGGGGGGAGTGATTGATGTGTGAGTCACTATTTGCAGTCAAGCTCGGGGATAATTCTGTCTATTATAAAATTAAGAGTTTCCTTCCTTGTTCTACTGAATTTACTGTCACAAAAATAAAAAAAATTGTATGACAATCTGTTAGCATTTATTGATGACATAATTTGAGCAAATGCAGACAAAATGGTGGTACTATCATAGTCTTGAAAATAAAACTTTAACAAATTATTTGTTTCTTTGTTGTTTGTTTTTTTAAATTTTACAGTCGACTTAACCCGAGAATTTAATTTTTAGCTTACTCTCTAAACAAAGTGATGGTGTAAAAATACGTGACATTTATACTATTGGTAAGTCATACCATTACATGGGGTACACCATGACAGTTCAAGTCTACTTAAAATTGACACAGGACTATAAAATCATGTCCCTGGCCAATGTCTCCCCTCGTCATGTCCCTGGCCAATGTCTCCCCTCGTCATGTCCCTGGCCAATGTCTCCCCTCGTCATGTCCCTGGCCAATGTCTCCCCGGTCATGTCCCTGGCCAATGTCTCCCCTCGTCATGTCCATAGCCAATGTCTCCCCTCGTCATGTCCCTGGCCAATGTCTCCCCTCGTCATGTCCATGGCCAAAGTCTCCCCCCCCCCGTCATGTCCCATGCCCAAGGTCTCCCTGTCATAATCCTGGCCAACTGTTAAATTTGTTCCATAGCCAATGTCCCCCCTCGTCATGTCCCTGGCCAATGTCTCCCCCCGTCCTGTCCATGGCCAAAGTCTCCCCCCCCCCGTCATGTCCCATGCCCAAGGTCTCCCTGTCATAATCCTGGCCAACTGTTAAATTTGAAAAAAAAAAAAACTAAAATTGCCTCGACTTGCCTTAGATTTAGATTTAAAAATGTATTAAAAAGAATCAAAAATTCTAAAATATTCTATCTGCTCTGCGCCAGCCTAGCTTAATGATGATCCGACAGTTTGGCTTTTGAATTAACAAAACAAAATACAAAAACAAAACACATTTAACAAAAACAAAAAAAGAAGTGTCATACTTTAGAGTGAAAGTAATCCAACTTGTGTTATTGAAACGAATGAGTAGTGTCTCTTTTGGGCTCTTAACAATCAAGAGCACCACGACATGTTCCTGTTATGGCATTTGACAACCCAGTGACAAGTGACATCATCAAAGTGACATGTCACTGCCGAGTTGACACAGTGACACTAACACAGTGGCATATGTGTTTCTAAATGATATATATTTTTTTCTTTTAAAAATCACAATACTAACATGATGACGAACAAACAAAAGGGGGAGGGGGGGTGCGTGTCTGACCAAACCCGAACTCTCCGGACCAAAAAAACAAAAAAAAAATAGTATCCTTATGATAAGTCTTATAATATCCTTGATCACATACTTATCTGGATACAAACATACACCACGTACTATCAACCGTAGCTCCTAACCATAATGATAATTAAAACATTTTTAAAAATAATAAATAATAATAATCATAATAATAATATTAACAGTCTGGCAACGAATGTCACAGTTGCATTCTGCGCACATGTCAGATGTCACATGCTTGTGCACACACTGTTTCAGTAAATCCATTTTGTGAAGCCTAAATTGTTATAATCATTATAATCATAAACAAAAGTTGAGTTGTACTTCCTCTGAAATCTGTATCCTCAACCTGACCTCTTTTAACCTCTCGCCACTGTCTCTGTTGTCATTTTAAAAACAGTAATAAATAACTATACAGCGGACTCACACGGTTGGCTGGTTCACAAATTTTTTAAAATAATATAATAAATATTGCATTAAAAAAAAATATATTCAAAGCAGGATGTGGAAATGACGTAATCAAACACGTGACGTAGAAAATAACCTCTAAACAATATTTATTTTATTATCATATTTTTGTTTCAAAGATCCCGCAATGAATTGAGGTTGGTCCCAAGTTAAGTTTATTTACCGTAGTTTCAAATATACGGGCCTTTGGGGGAGTGCTTGGGGTGGGGGGTGGTGTCTACGTTTGCATGAAAGCCCTTTGGATGGTTGTATTTAAAATGACCTCCCCCCCCCCTCTCCTTCCTCCCGCCCCCCCCCCCACACTTTTCAATTCTCGTGTTTACAGTTATCTTTCTCATCAAAACTCAAGAGACTGACTGGGGGGGGGGGGGGTTTTACGTCTAGCATATGAAAGGAAATATAGCTATCTCTTAACTTACTTTTTAAAATGTTTGGTTGTTGTTTTGTTGTTTTTTTTTCTTTAAATACTCAGAAAATGTATCATTTCTCAATCTTCACACACAGAGAAGATATTTGTGTTTAAAAAATAATTTAAAAATGCATTCTTCTTTTAAAAATTAAAAGGAAAATAAATCAAATGTTAACTGACGCATAATATTAAATTTATGACATAGAATTGTGATAAAAAATATTTTTTTATAGCGGAGATGTTGCACACAATTAATAAAACCCTTTAATTACCTTTTAAAGAAACAGATTTGAGAGTTTATTATTTTTTAAAAAAAAACATCGTGATATGAAAGAAATCGGTTAGAGAGTATCGTTTTTTTTTTTAAAAATGGCCGTGCACTGCACACACACACACACAATTGTGTCGTAGACTGAGGCGATATAATACACAACTCGTTAGCAAACTCAGAGCGAATCACAAAATTGACCAGGGGGGAACACACTCCACTCTAGCTCTGGGAGAAATTAATCATGATTACGGAGCACTGGGCACGGAGCACTGGGCACCGAACGAGTCAACCATGATTGTGGCTCACAATTATCAGCTTTGGTGGTGGTAATAACAATCATATTAAATCATCAAGTAAATAATTAACGTCCTACTTACACGGAAGGCCAAGGAGTGTGACTGTTTGGCGTAGCTATATAAGGCTTACCGCGTCGTACAGTTTTTTTTGTTGGAGCCGGTGGGGGGGCGTAGTAAAGCCAGTGCGTAAAATCTTAGCTGGCGCTACACTCCGTAACAGACGTTGTCGTTGTTACGTCCGTCACAGAATAATTCATACTATCGTGATGAAATCAGCTTAGTTTGGGGGGACACACACCTTGGTGTCGCTTTGAGCGGTCTGCGGAACGTGGTCGAGTTGCTTGAAACGCTGCTCCACGCCATGAAAGGCAAATCAGGATTTAGGAATCCTTAGGATGAAAGGGGGGCGAAATGTTTGACTGACTATTTCTCCGAGATGCGCCCCCGTGAGGGGGGGGAGGTTTATCTGGGTGAGTACGGGTGGTAGTCTTCAGGTTGGTGGTTGCCGCTGTAGGAGTCGAGGTACCTGTGGTGGTGCGACTCCTCGGCCGCTAGTCAGTGCGGCGGTGGGGAGTGCTTCATCCCGAGGGACTGGTGCTGCTGGTGGTGCTGGTAGTGGTGCGGCACGGGGGGCGGAGGCGAGTGGGACCCCGGGTGGTGCTGGGGGTGGTGCGGGTGGCCGCCCATGGAGTAGGACAACAGCGAGGAGACCTGAGACATGGGCGACGACCCCGGGTGGTTCATCGAGTGCGGCGTAAGAGAGCTGGCGTAGCCAGGCATCACGGGGGACCCACCTCCACCCCCGCCGCTGTGAATGGGGCTGCAAGAGTCATGGAGGGGGCTGCCGTCGTTGGCAGAGGAGTCGTCGTTGCCCTCCGGCATGATGATCTCGCCGTTGGGGCCGATATTCCCCGGGGGCGTCATCCGTTTCTCCTTCTGCCTCCTGTTGCAGAACCAGACCCTCACCACCTCCTTCTCCAACTGCAGCTGGTCCGCCAGGTGAGTGATCTCGGGCGCCGACGGCTTCGGGCACTTCATGAAATGGCTTTCCAGGGCGCCCTTCACGGTCACCTCGATGCTAGTCCGTTTCTTGCGCTTCCTGCCCTGCGCCGCGATCTTGTCAATGTTCGTCGGAGACCCCGTGGTCGAGTCGGCCTCTTCCAGCCACTTCTGCAGCAGCGGCTTGAGCTTGCACATGTTCTTGAAGCTCAGCTGCAGCGCCTCGAAGCGGCAGATGGTCGTCTGACTGAAGACGTTGCCGTAGAGCGTGCCCAGGGCGAGGCCGACGTCCGCCTGCGTGAAGCCGAGCTTGATTCGCCGCTGCTTGAACTGTTTGGCGAACGCCTCGAGGTCGTCGGAGGTCGGGGCGTCCTCGTCTGACGGGGGGTGTGGGTCGAGATCGTGGTCCGGGTCCCTGAGCACGTGGTGCATCTGGTGCGAGGGCGACATCATGCCGTTCATGTTCATGCCGTACTGGTGCTGCATCTGGTGGTTGGCGTTCTGGAGCGAGGACAGGTTCTGCAAGGGCGGCATGGACCAGTGCTGCTGCGGCACCTGCATCTGGTGGTGGGCCTGGGGCCGGTGGTGCAGCGTGCCGCCGTGCCCGTCCATCGGGTTGACCGGACTCACCTTCATCTCCTGGTGGTGCTGCAGGTGGGCCATCCCGGGCCAGTGGCCACCGTCACCGTGGGGGCTCGGGCTCAGCCACGGGTTGTGGTGCTGCCCCAGGTGCCCGGCGTGCCCGTTCTGGTGGTGCTGGTTCGGGATGTACTTCATCTCGGGCAGATCCCGGTGGGGCGAGTACTGCTGGTTGCTCGGCACGTGCATGCCGTGGTTGGTCATCGGCTGACCGGTGTTGAGTGAAGACGGCACATTCGGCGGCAAGTACAAAGATGCACTTGGTGCCGCCATGCTGTAGCACTCCACAGCTATGGTTAAGGTGGGACCACGATTTTAAGGAAAAAAAAAATATTTGTAAACGCCAAAGCTCACCTCACACAACGAACCACTTCATTGGTCAATTTGTCTTGAATGATATCACCTGACGAAATAAATAAATACAAAATGATAACATACGAATATGTATTATTTCCAGGAATCTTGTTTTAAAATTTATTCTAAACACCTGTTTTTTTATACAAAGTGGAAATCTCGTGAATAATGTTAATTATTCTTCCGACGGCTACTACCACTACTACTACTACTACCAGGCCTAGGCATAAAACACGGTGACTTAGACTTAGGCCCTTAGCTAATCACGATCACTTTATTATACACAAGATATCAGCCGACCACAGAATTAGAATACTGACTAATCTACTTCCAAGCGGTAAGACACCACACACAAAATAGTCACCAGTGGTTTAGGGAGGTGTGTGTACACTTTTTCTCCCCCACAAAAGACTGAGCGCGCTGATCAGACTTGCAAAATCCAAGCTGCTAGCCTTCTGCGTTATTCATGCATTGTGAACCGAACGAGCCGCGGCGCAAAGGCATTATCATCCCAGATGAGGCCCGGGCGAGCCCCCGATTGGTCGACGTCCCGCGGTGACTGACGGGACGGCCGTGACGGTTAAATGACCGTCCGGGGCCGCATGCCGCCGTCTGATTGATTGGAGGGGGCGCGGCCTGGCTGCCTTCGCTTGTAAGACCGTCGCTCGCGCGGTGTATTGATTGCAGTGTGCCGCGCCCCCCCCCCCTCCTTTTTCCCTTGTCACGAGGCAGACCTCGCGATGGTTCTAGCGACTGATGTCCCAAAATTGTAGAGTGGGCTTTTTGAAAGCTGTACATTTATGGCTACAGAACTTATTTTCGATAATTTAACAAAAATGTAACGTATATTATAAATATATATAAAACTATACCTATATTTATTCTATACGATGGCTCTTTGTATGCATTTAACTTGGCTCCCACGCCTTAGTGTAACTAGAGTAGATATAAAGCAAGAGCCATCCCATGGAGCATTGCGCTTGGGACCAGGGTGGATTTTTGTCTTAAAGCTTTTGGGACGTTTCAGTTAGGGCCTCCATTAAACTATCATATAAATATGGGGCCCTTTTTAGGACTGTAACAAAAACGGTGCTCTGACTCTGTGTGTGTGTGTGTCAGTGTGTGTTCCTTGTCGAATATGTATTTTGTCATCTCTACAATTCTCAACTACCAGAAAACCCCCCTCCCGGTGTGTCGTCTGCCTCCCGATGTGTCGTCTGCCTCCCGGTGTGTCGTCTGCCTCCCGGTGTGTCGTCTGCCTCCCGGTGTGTCGTCTGCCTCCCGGTGTGTCGTCTGCCTCCCGGTGTGTCGTCTGCCTCCCGGTGTGTCGTCTGCCTGTCTGCCCCCCGGTGTGTCATCTGCCTCCCGGTGTGTCGTCTGCCTCCCGGTGTGTCGTCTGCCTCCCGGTGTGTCGTCTGCCTCCCGGTGTGTCGTCTGTCTCCCGGTGTGTCGTCTGCCTCCCGGTGTGTCGTCTGCCTCCCGGTGTGTCGTCTGCCTCCCGGTGTGTCGTCTGCCTCAGACCAGACGTTCGAACGGAGGTGGATTTTGTATTTTTACGTTTCTGAAAACGAGAGTGGTTTAAGGCGGAGCCTAGAAGCGTTGACAGGGGGGAATAGGAGGGGCTTACGTCTCCCCGGTGGGCTGGACTAGACTCGTGTTAAAACTAGCAGCGCCCACTTTTTTTGAGAGACAGTAAAGGTGGAAAAGGGGGGGGGGGAGTTTGAAGACATGTTCCCAGTGAAGTCGTGGTACAAGACCGGTGAACAAACGCGACGTGCCTAATTTTCATCTTTTTCCTATCAAGGACCCCCGCGTGTTGGCTGGAAACACATCTCGTAGCGGGGTCCAGCGAGCATTGACCACGTTATGTCCACTTGAGGAACTCTTCAGTGGGCGCGGAGGGGGGGGGTCGCCCCTCCTGTCTTAATGCTGGAGGAGGAGGGCCTCCCCCCACTCCCCACCCCCCGCCCCCCACCCCCATGAAATCGGTGTGTAAACACAGTAATTAGTTGGAAATCAAAAGCCACTTTCAGCGCGTTAGCCCGATCAAATACGGAGAGGACCAGATGACCATGGGGGCCCCGGTGTGGTCATTGCCCTTCCTGACCGAGACTCACGGCGGTGGGCAGGAGGGGGGGGAACACGCCCCTGCACCTCTTGGGGCCCCGGTGTGGTCATTGCCCTTCCTGACCGAGACTCACGGCGGTGGGCAGGAGGGGGGGGGAACACGCCCCTGCACCTCTGTTGATTGGCTCGTCTCAAACTTCAAAAGGGGGGGGGGCAGAGATTATTACCTTCAAAATTGTTTCATTTTATGAAGTATGCTCTTCTCCTGCGGGGCGGCGATTAGTCCAACGGCCACGCTGATTTGAAAATTAACATTGTGGTCTAACGGAAATATGTTACAGTACAGGCCATCACAACAGATAACTTGTCATGTAGCCTACGGTGAGCTAAAATATAAGGTGACCACGGGCCAATACAATATGCAACTTGAAGGCTACAGTTGAGTTAGCTAAAATACAATGTGACTGCGGGCCAATATGTAGCCTGGAGTAAGCTAAAATACAGGGGGACTACAGGCCAATACAATATGCAACATGTAGCCAAGAGTAAGCTAAAATACAGGGGGACTATTATGCAACATGTAGCCTAGAGTAGGCTAAAATATAGGGGGACTATCGGCCAATACAATATGCAACATGTAGCCTAGAGTAAGCTAAAATACAGGGGTACTACAGGCCAATACAATATGCAACATGTAGCCTAGAGTAAGCTAAAACACAGGGGGACTACATGCCAATACAATATGCAACATGTAGCCTAGAGTAAGCTAAAATACAGGGGGACTACAGGTCAATACAATATGCAACATGTAGCCTAGAGTAAGCTAAAATACAGGGGGACTAAAGGTCAATACAATATGCAACATGTAGCCTAGAGTAAGCTTAAATACAGGGGGACTACAGGTCAATACAATATGCAACATGTAGCCAAGAGTAAGCTAAAATACAGGAGGACTACAGGTCAATACAATATGCAACATGTAGCCTACAGAAAGCTGTAATACGTATGACCAATTGAAAGATAGGCTACATCTAGGTAGCTAACACGCGCTATGGCATAACATGTAGCCTTCATGCCTCGTATTCTAAAGTACATATTATGTGTAGTCTTGTAGTGTAATTTAGCCCATATGAACCAACTCTTTCTTCATAAACGCTTGCTTGGTCTGTCCATAATAAGATCATTATCACGTACATGTGTGGGGGAAGGGGGGATTTGGGTGGGGGTGGGGGGTGGGGGGGGGAGGAGATATTACCCACAAATTTAGAAAAGGAATTTCTTTTAACATAAAATAATAATAATAATAGAATAATAAAACTGTTGATGATAATAATAATAATAATTAGGATGATGAAAATAATAATGAAAATAATGATGATAATTTAAGTGATAATAATAAGAAGAAGAAGAAGAAAAAATAGAATAAAAACATTTCCTTTGATGAACTCATCAACTAATTACAAAAAGTGTTGGACTGCAATGAAGCTTTAAAATAGATTAATAAGACACGAACAAATTGTGTCAGTATAACAATATAAGTTACACTTTAATAAACAATGATACATCATACACAAGTATCTATAACATAAATAAACACGCTCTCTGTCCGGTCTCCAAACATTTCAATAGCCCTAGCCATGACGGTATCTCAGACATCGCAGTTACTGGTATACTGTATACCAGTAACACTACAGACAGAATCTTTGTAATTGATCGTGGGCCCTTAAGATATAGAAGAAGAAGAAGAAGAGAATAAATTAATAACTAGATTTGGTACGTTGCCTCCATATGGAATGAACCAAATCCACAATTTTACCTAGCTGCCATGTCTTTTTCCTGTTTGGTTTTTACAATTATGTTCAAATCACTTCCTTTCTACTCCTCTTTACTTTGTTTTTGTCTGGTTTTAGCTCCCTCTCCTATATTGTTTCTGTTTTAGGTAGGATATGTATATTGATATTATGTACATTTAATTTATACTTATTTAAATGTGTTTTGTTTGTTTGTACTGATGACGGCATGTGTGCCGAAACGTTGACTTGTGTATAATGGATACTTCTTATTAAAGCGTACCTTATATTGTTACAGTGACACAATTTGTTCGTGTCTTATTAATCTATGAACTCATCACACAGGGATACGCATTTAATGTCAGTGGCGTAGCTAGGGGGTTGTGGGGGTGGGGGGTGCGGACTGCACCGGGTGAACTCCACTCAGGGGAGTGACACCAAAAAACATGTTACAGTTCTTAAATACATTACCCTAACCCGACCTTCTATTAATTTGTTCATACTCTTGTCATTGATATAATGTGGTGTGTTTATTTTAACAAAAAAGAAATCCATGGGGGGGGGGGGGGTCCACGATGAGTTTACCGCACCGGGTGACACCATACCCTAGCTAAGCCACTGGTGTGTGTGTTAATATATCGTATGTGTGTGGGCTAAGCCACTGGTGTGTGTGTTAATATATCGTATGTGTATGGGCGTTGCTCTGAAATGCACTCACTCGTTGGATTTATCCTGTAGTAAAAAAAAAAAATTAATACAATACAAAAGTTAAATAAAATGAAAGACTCAGAAATAAAGGGCTGGTCCACTGTTCCAGTATTAAACAGAAACTCGTCCTTCTCCCCCATAGACAGCGACGAGGCCATGACAGGCAATTCAGGCTCATACCAGCGAGAAGCCAGTATAGGAGCTGCTCATTCCTGCCCAAGACAATCAGGGACTGGAACAATCTTTCAAAAGGAACAGTTGAGGTGACAACACTAGACACATTTGCGTCTATTGCCTCAAGCCTTCAAACCCCTAGTGCATGATTCCCTCACAAATTAGCCCTTGCAACCAGTG